CGATTCCAGCAGTTACACGTAGCTACATGTAGGAGGAAGAGTGAGGGAGAGGGGGGACCAAACTGGAGAGGTGAGAATGACCTCAGCAGAATGTGGAGCTACACCAGGTATTCCCAACCTGACCCACCGGCCCAACACCTTTCCGTTATGGGGCTGTGCTGGGCACCCCAGGACATTCTGCCATAGCCCCACCCCTTTGTAACAACTCAGAATGTCACCAGACTTTGCCAAAGATCCCCTTGGGAGGGGAGGGGGGCAAAATCACCTCCAGTTAAGAGCCATCGTTTTATGAGACTCAAAAGAGCAATCATTTCCAAAAGCCATCAGTTCCCCTGTAGAGAGAGTGGCAAAGTCAAGAAGGGAAATGGGAAAGAGGTCGTTGGCTTTGGTGATCAGAGTTCACTAGGTACCTTCAAGAAAGCTCCTTCGGTGGGGTGCCGCGGTGGCTCGGTCGGTTAAGCCTCCAACTCTTGATTTCGGCTCAGGTCATGATCTCCAGGTTTGTGAGTTCGAGCTCACATCAGGCTCTGCGTTGACATCCCATGGAGCCTGCGTGGGATTCTGTCTCCCTTTCTCTGCCCTTCCCCCACTCACTATCTCTCTCTCTCAAAATAAATAAAATTTTTGAAAAAATGAAAAGAAAGAAAAAAGAAAGCTTCTTCTGTAACCAAGTCCACTTGAAAGGAGTTACAGAAAGAACAGACAATCTAAAACGAAGAACAAAGGTGAGCTACCTACAGAAAGTCACAAGCCAGGGTCTGGTACTTCTGCAAGCCCACCAAAGGAGCAGGCTCCCATTCCCACTGGCTTCCAGAGGAAGGTCAGAGATTAAACAGCCAAAATCTCCCCCGGGAGAGTCTCCTTTGCAGTCACCTCCACCTCCAACCCCGCTAGGGTCCATCCTGGGGACAGATGTCGCCCAAAAGGACCATAGCAAAGACAGGCCAAGTGAGCGCCAAAGTGTGGAAACTTCTGAGATTGGCTGGGAGTTAGCACTTACAGAACAATAAACGGAGCCTTTGAAGAGACGAAACAAAGGAACCATTTGTCTCCTCCAGCAGCTACAAAGGAGGCAGGCTCACGGAGGACTGAGGGGTAAAAGAATGCCAAGCTGGAGACGAGACTAGGGTTTACTGGGTCCAACCCAGGACCCTCCGCCAGGATCTGAAGTCAGTGGGTAAGAGAGCAACCAAATGTACTCAACACGACACAGGAAACGTAGGCTCTAGGGTTTTAAGTTAAAAACGTCTATTTTGTTTTTCTTTCTCAGTTGCTTTGAGTTATGCTATATAAAGGTGGGGAGAGGGAGACAACATTTTTAAAAAACATGCATTTTTTTTAAAAAGCACAAAGACTTTCTTCAGTGCCTTTTTTGTTACCATACCTGTGAATTAATGATTGGCTGGATTTCATTGACTCGTCTGCTGAAGAGCCTTCCTGAATTCCTCTTACATGGTTGTCAGGAAAATGCCAGTAAGACTCCCCCCTCCCTTTAACAGTCCCTGGCCGGCTTGGGTTTGAACCTCATGGCCCTTCTTGCAAAATGATCTTTCTGCTGGAGATCTATATTTGTCATTTTCCCCTCTCTCCTCCCTCCTCAACAGGCCCCACATGACTTCAAGGGGTTTTGAAATTACAACCCAGCCATCCTGAGGGGCTTTATGTCTCACTCCTAAATTGGAACTGGTTGGATCAGCGGGGTCCCGTTTCTGTCTGTATTAGTCACTTCTCTTAACTGTCAAAGATCAACTCCCTCGGTAGGAAAATTTTTGAGGGGTGGGGGAAGAGATATTCAAAGAAGAAGGGAGGTGGGGACTGGTGTGATATTCTACAAGTCACACATTCTGAATCTCTCCTTTCATGTCTCTGGAAAGGATGGAGAAAGTTGGGTCAAACGGCTCATTCTTTCTGCCCCTCTTTCTTTTTTCCCAAGCATGAAGGTGGCACTCACAAAGTCATTGTGAGAATATGCAATTGTGAGAATAAATGGTTCTTATTTGTGCCATCCTGGAGGAAAGAACGTTCTCTGCAGTGACACCGTGTTCCCTTCCAGGAGGCAATCTTACCGAACTGTTTCCCCGCAGTCCCAACCCTGTGGGTGACAACAAAGCTGCCCATCTGGAGACCTACTTCTTCTTAGAAACCTAGCAACACCCGAAAAAAGGAGAGACACAGCCTCAGAGTGTCCCTAGACCAGCAAACCAGGAATGCCTGGTCAATAGACACCTTCTCCTAACTTACGAAAGGAAGTGGAAAGACCAAAGTTGTCCCTTAAAAGGTGTCCTGAAAAGATAAGCCCCAACAGGGGTGGCTGGGTGGCTCAGTCAATTAACGGTCCGACTTCAGCTCAGGTCATGATCTCGCTGTTCATCAGTTTGAGCCCCACATAGGACTCTGTGCTGACAGCTCAGAGCATCTCTCTGACTCTCCCCTGCTCGTGCTTTATCTCTCAAAAATAATCCATACATGTTAAAAAAAAAAAAAAAAAAAAAAAAAAAAAAGATAAACCCCAACAGCTATCTCTGGGTGATCAGGATTACAAACTTTTGGTTCTCCTATTCCTTTATTTTTCTATTTTACAATTTTTCTTTCACAATGAGCATGAATCACTTTGGTCATCTCCAAAGATACTATTTGCTTTAATCTCCCCAGCCCTTTTCAACCCAGCAAATGTCTACTCTAGATCAAGTGGTTCTTAACAATTACTGAAAGACAGTAAAGTCCCTGAACCTGGCTGAGACCTGATTTTTCCATTTCCTTGGCTGTAAAATGGGATGGCCCCTACTTTGTTTGGAGGCACAAAACAACTCCAAGCTGTTACTTGAAAGTAACACCCCAGGTGGTATCACCAGTCTGGGGGAGAGTGAGGTTGAGTCCCGAACCCACAAGCCACGTATCTGCCTGGGGTGCACACATCCTCAACCGTCCCACACGAGGCTGGCAGAGTTCAGTAGTCAGACATGAAGACAGGGCATATTCTGATTTCACTCATCTGTGGAATTTAAGACACAAAACAGATGAACATAAGGGAAGGGAAGCAGAAGTAATATAAAAAGAGAGAGGGAGACAAACCATAAGAGATTCCTAAGCGCAGAGAACAAACTGAGGGTTGCTGGTGGGGTGTCGCGTGGGGAGAAGGGCTAAAGGGGTGAGGGGCATTAAGGAAGACCCTCGTTGGGATGAACACTGGGTGTTACATGTAAGTGATGAATTACTAAACTCCATTCCTGAAAAACAATAATAAATATATTTTGATTAAAGAAAAGATAGGGACATTGGCCACCTTTAACAGCTTTCGAAAACTACCCTCTTGAGTTCCAGCTAAACCTACTTTTGCTGTTGTTCTTTGATGGGTTGGATGGTTGGTTTTGTGTTTTGTTGCTTTTGTTTGTGTGTGTCCTGTGGGGTGTAGTCAGTTAGCCTCCCGCAGAGCAAAGCCCAAAGTGCCAGATTCCTGGGAAACCACCCTAAGAGGCCTCTTCCAGGAAGGATCTCCTGTTGCCAAATTTCCTGAGGATATACCTAGATGGTCAGACACTGTCAGAAAAAAACTACTTGAAATGTTCACCCACACGAAGCATACAGTGTGAATTTCCTTCACATTCGCTACAACCTTTACTGCCCGGTCGTTTGCGGATGAAAACTTGTTATCAAAATGTTCTTTTATACTTTTCTCCAGAGGAGTCCCAAATGCCCCTCCCCCATCACTATCAAAAATCTGGCTAGTGTTCACCAGCCCTATTTTTGAAGAAAAAGAAAAGGGTTTTTGTTTTTTGTTTTTTTTTATAATAAAACCCAAATACCCCTCCCCTTCCACTGCGCCTCGCCTTCCCCCATGAATCCAATGTCTTGGTTGAAAACTTGGTGGTTAGGAGATGATGGGTTTCTAAGATGTGCGGGCTGAAGCTGGTTTCGCTACTTTCGAGTTGCGTTGGGCATTTTTTTCCTGTCTGTACGCGTTTTCAACAA